TTCCCGCCATCTTAAGCATTGTATATATACTGTTTTTATCTACTGTTATCTATTGGACTGTTTTAATGTAGTTGGATGAGATTGTATATTATTTGTAAGCCGCCCTGAGCCCTTCTTGTAGGGAAGGGCAGCCTAGTAAATCTAATTTAATAAATAAATAATAAACAACCCTCAAATTCTAATCTGAAGTGTTTCACACATGCTTAAAGACACAGCAGAAGTTCATCTGCAGCAGACCCTCTTTTCATGTTATGGAGGACTGCTGGAGTTCAAAGGAAGGAAGAGTGTGACCTCTAGTGGCTATTCTGTTTCTACGTAATGCTATTTCATTTTATCTTTCTTCCCTCCAACCAATCCATTTTGAGACTGCTTTGCTTTTATCTTGCAAGCAGAAATTCAACACGGGGTAACTTGCTCACTGACCAGGATGTTTCCTTCCTATTTTTATGTATCACTGAGACAATTGTGGACATAGCCGTGCCATACAAAAATGTTATGGGTTCAGGCCACATGCCCTCTATTATCTGTGCTGGACATGGTGGAGTGTGTGCTGTGCTTGTTGTAGTGTGAGCTACATCGTTGGATAGGGTTGCCAACTCTGGGTTGGAAGATTCCTGGAGATTTGGGGGTGGAACCTGGGGAGGCAGATTTTGGGGAACCTAAGTGGGACTATAAGGCCATAGAATCCACCCTCCAAAGCAGCCGTTTTCTCCAGGGGAACTGATAGATCTTGTCTGGAGATCAGGTATAATTCTGGGAGATCTTCTCCTGGTCACACCCAGAGGCTGGTAACCCTAATGCAGGGCAGAATGGAGATGTCTTCAGAACATGAGAGTATGGAAGTGCTCAGGAAAGAAGGGGTTCAGCAAAAAAAAAAAGATATATATTTTTTTAAATGTCGCTCCTGATGCAGTATTTTGGTGTGGTTTCAGGGTCTGTTTCTCTGGATGTGGCTGCCACACAAGCAAGTGGGGCTTCAAATAAATGAAGAGGGGATACTGATTTCCTCCTAACCAAAGAACCCCTCCTATAATCCTGTTACACAGTGCAAGAGTCTGGATGTATTTTAGTGTGTATGCATTATGAGCACCAGACTATAAGGTAAATAACATATTTTAAAGTTCAGAAGCACCGGTCACTACTGATTTATTTTAAAACTTAACTTTCATATTCATTTTGCTATGTGGTCCTGTCTGGGATGTTTAGTAGAACAAAATGGTGGTGGAAAGTGCCATCAAGTCACAGCTGACTCATGGCCACCCCTGGTGGGGTTTTCGAGGCAAGAGACGTTCAGAGGTGGTTTGCCACTGCCGGCCTTCAGGTCGCAACCCTGGTATTCTTTGGAGGTCTCTCATCCAAATACTAACCAGGGCTGACTCAACTAAGTTTCTGAGATGTGATGAGACTATCCAGGTCAAAGCAGACTAGAACAGAGGTCCACTGTTGTAGATTCCTATGCAGATTAATGTTAGATGTTTTGTTGCATCATTTGTTATGTATTTACATACTGGCATGGTGTTCGCCATCTTAAATCCCTGGAGAAAGACGGGCTAGGAATATTTTAATAAATATCCACAAGAAAATAAATCAATTGATCCTGGTATACAGTAGATTAAAGCCTTTTTGGGGTTTAAAAAAAATCTTAGATGAGGCAAGCCACTGCTCTTGGCTACCAGTTGGCCTATCAAATTTTAACCAGGGTATGACAAAAAATCATACACAGAAGTAACTCATTTAAAAAAAACCCCTGTTTTCAAGTGATAAGAAATGGAAGTTCCTCAATTTAACTCTACATATTTCTGTGTGATCCCAAGGTATGGTTTGAAGGAATAAGATGCAGCCATTTTTGCTGAGGAGGTCTGGACCTGGGCAGTGCTCAGGTGGGAAACTTCACAGAAGTCCTATGTAAGCTTCCGTGGAGAAAAGCAGGATAAAAATAACACAAGTAAATGGGCAGATCTAAAGATAATATCATCTGGATGTTCAAATCCCTGACCAACTAATGAAAAGCTGTGTGGCACAGTGGTTAGAATGCTGGTTGCTGGAGTTAGATTGGAGAGATCAAGACTGAAATTCCTAGTCAGGACTGATGCCTTTTTCTACAAAAAGAGCCCTGAAAAGCATATACAGAAGTAACTCATTTAAAAAAAACCTATTTTCAAGTTATAAGAAATGGAAGCTCCTCAGTGTAACTCTACATATTTCTGTGTGATCCCAAGCAATGTTCCCTCTAAACTGTGGAGTCTTGTGAGCAAAAATTCAACTTTGTGAGCTACTGGCACTAAAGTAGTGAGCAAATGACTTGGCTACTGCATAAATTAGTTTGCTCTGGAGCCATCCTTCCTGAGCGAAGGCAAATATGTGTGAGCCGGAGACTAAAAAACTGTGAGCTAGCTTACACTAACTCAGCTTAGAGGAAACACTGATTTCCCAAGGTATGGTTTGAAGGAATAAGATGCAGCCATTTTTGCTGAGGGGGTCTGGACCTGGGCAGTGCTCAAGCGGGAAACTTCACGGAAGTCCTATGTAAGCTTCCGTGGAGAAAAGCAGGATAAAAATAACACAAGTAAATGGGCAGATCTAAAGATAATATCATCTAGATGTTCAAATCCCTGCCCAGCTCATGAAAAGCTGTGTGGTACAGTGGTTAGAATGCTGTCGTTAGATTGGAGAGATCAAGATTGAAATTCCTAGTCAGGACTGATGCTTGCTGGGCATCCTTGAGCCATAGTTGAAATAATGGTACAAGGGAGGGAAAGGCTATGTATCTATACTTCTATGAACTTCTTGGGGGAAAGATGGGATCAAAAGTGGAATGAATAAATAATAAGAATACTAGATGGCGCCATCTTTATTATGGAGCAGACAATTATTCCTGGGTTCTGAACAACTCTTTGGAGAACAGAATAGACTGGTCCCCAGCAGATGGTGAACTGGTGTCCTTGCTATAAGGATTTTACTGTCACGATGACTGTTAGTTAATTACAGTGGAACCTTATGCAAAAGCAGTTGACTCTAAACCCTTTGAAATCAATGGGATTAAACTGGAATACCTCTCCATAGGATGGCACTATTGGACTAAAGTATTAAAACCAGAATTGGGTATAGCAACCAAAGGACATAATCCAGCTAGGGATGGGCACAAACTGGGAAAATGGTGGCTCATGGTTCGTTTGATTACATGAACCATGAACTTTCATAAACTTGTCCCGTTTCCCCAAGTGGTCTGTGGTTCATTCAGTTTGGGAGTTAGACACACCAAATAGCGAGTCTTTAAGAGCAGTTTCCATCAGAGCTCTCTCAGCCCCACATACCTCACAGGGTGTCTGTTGTGGGGAGGGGAAGGGAAAGGAGTTTGTAAGCCGCTCTGAGACACCTTTGGGTAGTGAAGGGCAGGATATAAACCCAATCTCTTCTTCTTCAGAAAAAAGGTGGTTTATTTTTTTAATTCAGGAACAACGTGACCAAATGAACCGGTTCGAAACGAACCACAAACCAGCGTGGTTCATGCTTGAACCGCAGTTCATTTCTCAGTTCGTGTCCATCCCTAGATACAGCCAATATTAAGCATTTTCTATCCAGATGAACTCTGTGGGAAACAGGTAAGCATTTCCCCAACTCTTCCACTGAAGCCAAAAGGAGTTAGGACTCTGTCTCAATGGTTTATGCTCTTTGTATTCCAAAATCTGTATCTTAATTCCCCTTTCACAAGTATGAAGAAAGTTACATAACTAATGGCAAAATATAGTACATAAGATTGTGAAGAAGCCAATACACTCATTTCGTGCCCTATCCAATCACTGAAGTTTTTATCATATTTGGCTGAAGATAACAGAATTTTTAAAACATTCTTTAAATACTTTAAAAAAAATGCAGTTACAGTAGGAATTTGGATTGTGATGGCTGCTTCACTTTAGAATTCCACATCCATTTCGTTCCTTCTTTCTTAGAAATCATTGTACTGTTTCCTGTGTTGTCTGCTCCTGTGATGTTGTAGGACAGCCTGTCAGAAGAATGAAGAATGAAGACTCCATCAGTCAATTCTCCCGAAGTAAAATGGAGAACCTAATCAGCAGATTATCACTAATTAGATTCCTTCCATGTCAGCAGGAGACGGGAAGGTATTTAAAGAGACACATGCAGCACAACTCAGAAGGAGGATCCAAGAAGACCCCCATTCTGGCCAGAAAAAGGGATAGATCTCCTTGTTAGAGAAGTGATCTCCTGCCTGGTTGATAAGGGAGATAGTTCAAAGATTGGAGTGATCCCTGGAGTGCTTAGAGAAGGAATTTGGGTACTTGGTAGTGTATCCCTGCCTTCTGCAACATGAAGGGTCAGTCAAACTCAAGAAAGTGAACTGGAGTGTTTAGGAAACACTGAAACCAAAGCCTCTCAGCTCTAAGATTCTAAGACTTTGTGAAAAGCTTAAGAACTCTCACTTGCTGGAAATGTAGGAACTGGAATTTGTGATTATACTAAATTACCTCAGAGTTATATTTGATTCACCTCAGACATTTTACCCCTGATTTCACCTGACCTTTTCCTTTCTATGTTGAATAACATATCATGTTTATTTTTTAATGTTCTAAAGCCACTCGGGTGCCATTTTTAGAAGTTTAAGTTAAAGAGGTGATCTTATCTCTTTCCTCAAATTCCTGCGCTGAGCCAGTGGCAAAATACAATTAAGTGAGAGGGTGGGACAGCCATAGATCTTCAGAAAAGAGGAACATAGATAAAGGGCCTGCTCAGCCAGAAAGGGGAAAAACCGAGGGAAAATTCTGCATCTGAGTGAGGGAACAGGGCTAGGTCACTCAGGATCATTGTTCTGATGTTTTTGTAACAACTTTCTGGAACGATAACTATATCTGTGATTTTTAATGACAACAACAATAATGTCCTTTGCAACTTTTTGATATATATTAAAATGACAATTTTGCAAGTGTATACCCCTATAGTTATTATATCTCAATAGTATATGAGTTACCTTTGTGACGTTTATCTCAGTTGTGACACTCTTGTGCCCGGTCTGCCACGATGACAGGAGAAACCAGTTGAATAAACTTTGGTAGTGAACAAAAGATGGAGCACCCAGGAAGAGTGAGCTGATGAAGATTCCCAGAGGTATCATTTCGATAATACATCTCAATAGTGTATTGCCTTATTTAGGATTCCAGGAGAGAAAAAAGAAGACAAATATTTAGGTCATACTTTTTTTTTGTCCTGTGAGTGTACTAGGAGCTTCATTAGAATTAGGAGCTAAGGTGTCAATAGGTTTTTACAGAACTGGGATAAGAGGGGGTCCTGGAAGGATAGATCTAATGCAGTTGCCTGAAGGGAACTGTCACAACATAGCAAAGGACTAAGGTGAGCCCAGCATAGGGCCAAAGGCATTAAACATATGGAATTTCTTTAGCATAGCCAAAGCTGGAAGTGTGGTCCAGGAGGAGGTGATGATACATATAGCCAGCCATACTGGGACCAGAAAAAAGAAACTGGGCCTAGATAGGGAATAGCTAGCAAAAGTAGGGAATGCAAACAGCAATGATAAATTCCAGCAGTGATGTTTACACGTGTAAATATGTTGTGCCAAGAGAAGGCAGATTTCTGTGACCTCGGGTATATGATGCATAATTTAGCAGTTTTGTGGTTCTTGTGGATAATTGATCTTTCCCCCCAGCTAGCTGTAGAAGGAAAGAGCAAGGTAGTGCTGCTTTGTATGTAGGAAATGTGCCTTCCTTTGTCAGGGATAGCCCATGTTCATTCTCCAGCAACCCAAATAGGGCAGCATTTCCAGATGTGAGTCCACATTCTTGTGTTCCAAACATTTTGAAATTTGGTATTTGAAATGTCACCTGGTGAGATGCTTTTGAGAAGTCTTCATCTTAGTACTTCATAATGAACTTTTAGTTTGCAAGGTTAAATATCATTTTTCAATTTCAGTATTTTAGCAGCCTCCCCTCCCCCCCAGTGCCAAGTCAAGACTTTACCATTTACCTAGGCAGTGGTTTGGCATTTTCATCTTTCTCACACCCCATTTACTTTGACTTGATCTCTTAGGAACATTGCTGCTGCATGGTGATTTTGCTAATGTGCTGCTAACTTTTGAGGATTTTAAAGGTTCTGAAATGTCTACTGCATTTAATGTTCACTTTTCAGTACTATCACTTGATTTAATATTCTAACTGTGTAATCCTAAACAGAGCGGCACAGTTATAAGTCCTCTGAGGTATTCCTAGAACAAAGAGGTCTTTGTCCTGCTTTGCGAACCAAAGGGTTAGATCTGGTGGATCTATTTTGCTAGCAGAGGCACTTTTCTGCAATGGAGGGAGCCTTCTTGCATGAGGGGAAGGTTCCCTCTGCTGGAGGAAAGCACCATTTAATGTAGGCAACCAAATGTCATCCTCTATAAAAAACCTCTTAGTTATACACCTAAAAATGGTTGATGTGTGAACCAGTTCTGTGCCGCGGCTACTGTTCTACTGAATTTTCTGCCAAATGCATGCACATTGTATATATGGGCAGTTTTGTAAACGAATCCTTGGAATAAACATTTTTGAGGGAATGGCACGCATCGGTAGTTGGGCTGCCAAAGTAACCTTTATTTGATAGATCTCAATTATGCCCCACACTTACCCGTTAATGTCTTCATACAATTCTATAAATTGGCAAGAGGACCAGGGTGGCACTTTTCCATTATAAACATTGAGTGCGATCTGGAAGGCTGCAATTGTGGTTGCATGCTATACAAAATAAAGAATATATAATCCTCTCAGTATATAATAAGGCAATACGGTTAAGTGTCACTTTGTATTTATTCATGTGTTTGATACACACACACATCCTGCGAGACACAGTCAGTGGCCGATGCACCCTCAAGCCCTCTTTCCTTGGGGCTTCTTCACAGTCCTCATTCCAAAGAGGGGAGGGCTTGAATTCATGCAGGTAGGGATGGGCATGAACCACATTTTTCCAGTTTGGTTCGTGGTTCATGGCTGAACCACTAATTGAACCATAAACCTATATGAACTGGGAGGTTGGTTTGTGAACAGAACCAGCTTGTATGGGTTTGTTTTGCCTCCTCTTAAGATTTGATTTCAAGGCTAGGTGCTGACAGGCAATGGGGGGTGGGTGGAGTTATTTATTTATATCTCATCTTTCCTCGTGGTCAAGGTAGTTAACAATAATAGTTTTAAAAAATCAGTTAAAATAAAAAATAAAATAGCAAACCCCAAACCCCAGGTAAGGTTCCTGTCAATTTGGCGTTCCTTGCTTTTATGGTTGGCCCACACCTAACGTGTTACTACTGAGGCATCCAACATGGATCTGTTTCATTCGTACCACATCAGGAAATTGTTCTAGAAAAACAGAGCACTCACTGCAGAATACACCATTAACTTCCTCTTATTTTCACGTTTTGTAGCTTCTATGATGTCTTTCAGAACAGCTTTCACAATGAGACCTGTAATAAAAATGGGGAAATGAAATATTACATAATATCCACACTTTTCTTTTTCCCGGAGAGCAGTAGTACAAACAATAATTATCGTATGGCAATGTGCATAGTATAGCCAGGTGATCCTAAAGATTGTCTGGCAGCCAGAAGTTCTAGCTCTTTTTAACATTATACACCACTAGGTGGTGAGCTAGACTTGTGTTTTTTTAAGGCAAGAGACGTTTCAGAGGTGGTTTGCCATTGCCTGTCTCTGTGTCACACCCCTGGTATTCCTTGGCGGTCGCCCTTCCAAATACTAGCCAAGGCTGGCCCTGCTTAGCTTCTGAGATCTGACGAGATCGGGCTAGCCTGGGCTACCCAGGAGACTTTAATAATCACCGCAAAATGTACTGTTTTTTTAAAAAACCATAATCCTAATTTTGTAACTGCATTTTTATGAAAACTATAGCCTATGGATAAGATGTAATGGTTAGAGCAATGTAAGGTGCAGTAGAGCCAGACAATTTCAAATGCTTCTCGACTGTCTCATTCTGGTAAATAGATTCACATCTTTTTTTAAAGGGGGGGGGGACCTGAGATATAGTTGAATGCCTTTTTGCCATTTCTTCAAATTTCAAGCATGATCCACCCTCCCAGTACAGCACCGTCCATTCTGATAAAAATGTTCAAAGTCACTGTCTTGTAAAGTTCCCCCAAGGTAAGGAGCCTGTACTGGCACGATGAAAACGGTCAGATTCACGTGCAGTATTGCTACATGAAGCGTCGTCCATAAAATTACATTTCAAGCAGGCACCACACCATTCTTGTGTCATGTGAATCAGGCCTACTATACTGCCCAAAACATGAAACCGTTATTTTGTTAATAGGGTTGCCAACCTCCAGGTAGGACTTGGCGTTCTCCTAGAATGACAACTGGTTTTCAGACTACAGTGATCAGTTCCTCTGGAGCAGTGGTGGGCAAACTCATTAGTCAAGAGAGCCAAATATCAACAGTACAACGATCGAAATTTATTTTGAGAGCCAAATTTTTTAAACCTAAACTATATAGGTAGGTACATTGGTATTAACTTAATTAGGGTACTCCTAAACTGGCCTTTGCTAAAAATGTCCTCAATCTGATTGAGGTACGTTCGCTGAGGTCAACCCCTTCCAACTCTCCCATCCACACTCGTCTTGTATACTTGCTTCGTCTCCTTTGGTTCATCCTCTCTATAAGAGCCACACTCAAGGGGCCAAAGAGCCACATGTGGCTCTAGAGCCGCAGTTTGCCTACCACCGCTCTGGAGGAAAGGGCTGCTGCAGACGGTGGGCCTCTGGGCATCAAATCACTACTGAACTCCCCCCCCCAACTCCTGTCACTCCCACAGATTTCCAGGAATTTCCCAAGCCATAGTTGGTAACCCCAATTTGCACTTGATAACCTAATAATATTCTCCGGATTGTTTGTATCTGTAGTGTCATAGAGTGCCAGATGTTTGTATGTGGTGCTCTTGCGGTTTCGCCTAGTGTCATATGGGCATGCAAAAAAGAGCTTATAGTGCCACAATCAGTAGTGATCTAGCATACGTAAAGGATACAGGCATTGCCAGTGCGCTACTCACCTCCTTGTAACAGTGATTTGGATAACATGTAATGGTTAGACCAATGTAAGGTGCAGTAGAGCCAGACAATTTCAAATGTCTCATTCTGGTAAATACATTCACATCTTTTTTTTATAGGGGGGGACTTGAGATATAGTTGAATGCCTTTTTGCCATTTCTTCAAATTTCAAGCATGATCCACCCTCCCAGTACAGCACCGTCCATTCTGATAAAAATGTTCAAAGTCACTGTCTTGTAAAGTTTCCCCAAGGTAAGGAGCCTGTACTGGCACGATGAAAACGGTCAGATTCACGTGCAGTATTGCTACATGAAGCGTCGTCCATAAAATTACATTTCAAGCAGGCACCACACCATTCTTGTGTCATGTGAATCAGGCCTACTATACTGCCCAAAACATGAAACCGTTATTTTGTTAATAGGGTTGCCAACCTCCAGGTAGGACTTGGCGTTCTCCTAGAATGACAACTGGTTTTCAGACTACAGTGATCAGTTCCTCTGGAGCAGTGGTGGGCAAACTCATTAGTCAAGAGAGCCAAATATCAACAGTACAACGATCGAAATTTATTTTGAGAGCCAAATTTTTTAAACCTAAACTATATAGGTAGGTACATTGGTATTAACTTAATTAGGGTACTCCTAAACTGGCCTTTGCTAAAAATGTCCTCAATCTGATTGAGGTACGTTCGCTGAGGTCAACCCCTTCCAACTCTCCCATCCACACTCGTCTTGTATACTTGCTTCGTCTCCTTTGGTTCATCCTCTCTATAAGAGCCACACTCAAGGGGCCAAAGAGCCACATGTGGCTCTAGAGCCGCAGTTTGCCTACCACCGCTCTGGAGGAAAGGGCTGCTGCAGACGGTGGGCCTCTGGGCATCAAATCACTACTGAACTCCCCCCCCCAACTCCTGTCACTCCCACAGATTTCCAGGAATTTCCCAAGCCATAGTTGGTAACCCCAATTTGCACTTGATAACCTAATAATATTCTCCGGATTGTTTGTATCTGTAGTGTCATAGAGTGCCAGATGTTTGTATGTGGTGCAATTGCGGTTTCGCCCAGTGTCATATGGGCATGCAAAAAAGAGCTTATAGTGCCACAATCAGTAGTGATCTAGCATACGTAAAGGATACAGGCATTGCCAGTGCGCTACTCACCTCCTTGTAACAGTGATTTCTCTCTTCTCTTATAAATCCCAAACAGTGACAATAAAGTCAAGTCTGACAGTTCTTCCAACTTGGCCAGCACAGCGGGTGTGGCCCAGCCTGGTATGGGATAATGATGCGTAATCTATGGTAAAAATGGGGGGGGGGAGTTAGATTTGCTTTTTGTCATGTGGTGTCCCCCCCCCCCCTTTTAAAAAAACTTCTAGTTAGGGATTTTTCTCTCTGGACTTTAGTTTAGCTGATGACTTGACACAGTTCCTCGTTATTTAAAAAGTGAAATAAAATAATGATCAAGCCATCAACCACCATACTGTTACATACTCTCCATCTCTGCTTGAGGAATTGCAGACCAGCATATGAAAACAAAGAGATATTTTTTAAACATTTGGTGTAAAAGAAAGCTTTTAACAGGAAGGAATGTGTCACATTAAAATGTAGCATTCCTTTTTTTAAAAAATTTACCATTATAAACATTGTTTACATTCCATGTATACATTTATCCATACACTAGAGTCTTTTAACCATCAACTAAGTTTTCTATCCATTCATACACCCTTTTCCATCTTTTATCATGTACCTTTTCATTCTTATTTTGTAACCTCAGGCTCAAATCATCCATTTGTGCCAGTTCTAACATTTTACATGCTAGATCTTCTCTCGTGGGTATTACATTGCTTTTCCAATTCCTTGCCAGAAGTAACCGTGCCGCAGTTAATGTATATGACAACATGTATTTTTCTTGCTGATTATATCCATTCCTTATCTATTTTAACACCCCGGGGCTTCTTTTATGCTCATGTGATGACATTGTGGTACAGTGGTTAGAGTTCTTGGGAGGATAAAATGGAGGAGGGAGGCATGATGCTGGAAGATGCTTTGGATTCCCAGTGGGGTGGGGAGAAAAGCAGGGCATAAATGTCTAAGTAAATAAAGGTGATAGAAGATTACTACACAATGTCTGTATGAGTCAAAATACCACAGATGCAGGTATGGGAAGGGGCTGCAGCATGCCCCAGGGTACCTCATGTTATCTTTGTAGCATTGGTGGGCAGGGGTGTCATCAGGGTTCTTTTTGTAGAAAAAGCCCAGCAGGAACTCATTAGCATAATAGGCCACACCCAACAGCAGGAACTCATTACCATATTAGGTCACACCCCTGACAGCACAGCTCATTAGCACATTAGGCCATCCCCCCATGTTACCAGAAGTGTGGTCATCCAGCCACACCCACCTTTTGCTTCTTATTCTGTTTACCTTGTTTGTTGTCAAAACCCAGGGCTTTTCTTGTAGCAGGAACTCCTTAGCATGTTAGGCCACACACCCCTAATGTAGCCAATCCTAATGAGTTCCTGCTGTTGGGTGTGGCCTATTATGCTAATGAGTTCCTGCTGGGCGTGGCCAACTCGGGAGCCAGCCGGAACTCCGTTCCTGTGCGTTCCTGCCCAAAAATAGCCCTAGGTGTCATTATCTGTGTGTTTGAGCAGGAGGCCAGTTTAGGCTGTTGCCCCTTCTCTGAATAGATTGTGAGGAATGAGACATTCTTGTGCAGCTCTTCCCAAACTGAGGACATGAAGCTATGTCTTCAGTGCCTGAATCGCTTGGTCATCTGCTCCTCCAGCCCTTATTGAACTGTGTGCAGGGCTGGACTTGCGTTGATGGAGTGTAAATCGTGTTGTATGATTAAACCAAGTACTCAAAAGAAAGTGAATTAAGAACGCGACACAAACAACTCAGGTCTACGATAGTAAGGGCCCAACTGAGTCCTGCCAGCAGTATGAGCACTCAGGATGAGGTGTCCCAGATGTTTCTGCAGATGTTGTTGGCACTATGGGCAGATGGGGTTGTGGTTGTGGGAGTGATTAGGATGCAGGCTAACAGGGCAGATACATTGGCACAGTTGTTTAGGGTGGCGACTGTTGCTTGTGTTCCGATTGACATTCGAAAGTCCTGCAGTATTTATAATACCTCAGCCATTAAATTATGATGTACGGTCCATGCGTTCCAATTGGTTAGGTTTTTGAGAGCAGCCACACTGTAACCAGTATTCCTTGCCAGGGTGATTAAAAAATTCTGAAAATCAAGGACAAAAGAAAAAAAAATTAAATTATCACTTGATATCACATCTGCGCATACTCAGACATAGCCCTGTTTCACAATAGTAATAAAGTATTTGACTTCGTGTTGAAAACCAATGTTAACCACCCTTGTAAAAATATTCATACTGTCCCATCACAGTTGGTGCTAGAGGTACTCTGCACAGAACTCAATGAGACTCACAGAAAAATCCTAAAATGTGTTAACACTCTTCACAGACCATTGAAGCCACTAGATATAGAAGGGTATCCAGGGGTCATTTCGTAGAAGAAGAGGTGCAGGAGCTCATTAGCATGACTCATTAGCATAACTTATTTGCATATGCCACACCCTCTGACATCACTGGAAGTGTGTCAAAAGACAACACCTACTGCTCAGGCTCCACTGGAATGTTTTGAATTGCTAGCTATGGGGGGGGGGGGACATGCAGATCTGTCCTTGCAGAGGAGGGAGAGCTTGTACCTGAATAAAACTTGGTCATAACGGTGCCACTGGACTGTTTGGGACTGGGGGGGGAGCTCTGCAACTTACCTGGCTGCTTCTTGCTCTGACTGAGGGCTGCTGGGAGCAGAAGATGGGGCTTATTGCATGTGCCCGCCCCTGGCCTCTTTACTGCCGGAGCTCCGCTCCTGTGTGCTCCTGCAGGAAATGACCCCTGGGTATAACTCTGTTTAGGATTGCCCTGGCCATAACTCCCAGTAGCTTAATCCTGCATGGCTCTTTAAATTCGATGATATACAAAGAGGAACTATTTTCTATATATTAGACCTTCTGCTTTTGTCCTCTGTGGAAGAATGTTGGCTTCTGTTGGTGTACTTTTTGCCTTTGCCCTTCCCTTAACTAGACCATGGTAATGGAATTAGGGTTGCTAACCCCCAAGTAGGCACTGGAGTCCTCCTGGAATTAAAACTAATCCCCAGCCTATAGAAATCAGTCCCCCTGGAGAAAAATGACAGCTTTGAAGGTTGGAGTCTATTAGGGATGGTTATGAACTGGCTCATAAACTAAAGTTTGTGATGAATTTTGGCCAGTTCATGCTTTGTGAAGTCAAGTTTGTGACAGGTCAACCAGCATGAACTTTCCATGAACTCTGAGGCTGTTCATGGAGGTTCGTTGCAGTTTGTGAATGGATAAATTTCCAAACAGACTGTCTCAGTTCATTTACTAAACTTCAAGCAAAGGGTGTATGTGGAAGTTTCCCTGTGAGTTTGGCATCACTGGCTTGTTCCTCAGCTCTTCCATAGACTCCTGTAATGGCAAAAGAGGGCTAATGTCAAACCACAGGATCCCTGCAGCACAAACTGAAGGTGGTGGTGGGGAAACATTTTTTCCAAGCCCGATAAAACAAGTTCAGGGTACAGAATGCCCAGCAGAATCCAGTACCACTGTGGCAATGCAAGCTTAAAAGGACTGATTGATCTCAAAGCACAGTGTCACAAGAAATTCAAGCCCCAGGGGTGGGGGCAGGATTTGCAAGTTCAGCACAACCAGTTCAGTGTACAGAATGCCCAGCAGAATCTGGTACCACTTTGACAATGCAAGCTTAAAAGGACTAAGTGATCACAAAGCACAGTGTCACAAGAAATCCAAACAGTGGGGATTTTGCAAGCACTGTGCAAGAAAATTTGGCCTGGAGGAGGAACCACCGAGAGGGGAGTGGGCAGGGAGACCGTCTGGGGGAAGAAGGAAAAACCCCCCCGGGGGGGGGGGGGGGGACCTCCTGAATCTGCTCCTGTCATTTTCCCAAGAAAGCACTTTCCTGGGGGCACCTCTTTTGGGGAGCTGTAACTCAGTTCCCATAAATCCAATCCTCACCAAACTTGGAGGTCAGGTAGAGCAGAATCAGCCAGAGATTCTCTGTGAGTTTGGGTTCTCTAGTTTGTTGGGCACTGTTCTACTGGGTCATGACCTCTGTCCCCAAATCACCAGGAATTTCCCAAACTGGAGTTAGTAATTCTTCATGGAATAGCCTCCCCCTTCCATATAACCTGAGAGCCAGTTTGGTGTAGTGGTTAAGTGTGTGGACTCTAATCTGGGAGAATTGGGTTTGACAGAAGGCACAAATAAAGGAAACTGGTTCTTGACCTTCTTAAGACACCAAACAAGAAAGGAATTTTCCAAGTTCTTTTTTAAAGGCAAAAACAGGTAAAGCAAATGAGCAGGATTCATACAGAACAGTACAAAAAATCATTCTACACAAACTTCCTTTGTTTTGCCTTGAGTGGAGCAAAAGCTGAAGGCACAAATAAAGGAAACTGTTTCTTGACCTTAAAACACCAAACAAGAAAGGAATTTTCCAAGTTCTTTTTTAAGGGCAAAAACAGGTAAAGCAAACGAGCAGGATTCATATGGAACAGTACAAAAAATAATTCTACACAAACTTCTTTGTTTTGCCTTGAGTGGAGCAAAAGCAGAGCAAATGAACTGGATTCACGCCAAGAATTCAGCCAAAATTATACTGATTCTACACAGTTGTCCTTTGTCTTTCCTCCAGAATTGCTCCAGGGAGGAAGCAAAGGCCTACCTTGAGTGCAGTAAAGGCCTTAGTGCTCCAGATATATTGCTGGACCTTACCTTGCCTGCCTGGAGGTTATCACAACCATCTATTTACTCTCACATTCTTCTTTGACATTAATGGGAAGCGAGCTCACAGGCTGGCTCTTCGGCTTTGAAACGGAGATGAGCACCGCAACCCTAGAGTCGGATTCGACTGGCTTTCAAGCAAGGGAACCTTTACCTTTACTAAGTACTTTTAACCAAGCCATGCATATAACGTTAATCTTTTTACCGTGTAAGGCAGTATCTTTCTCTGAAATATGTTCGATTTCATGGTATCATTCTGAATTCTGTCATAACGTGGACAGCCAGGAATAGGAGCATATAGCTGTAGAGAAAACAATAAAATTATAATCAATTCCAACCTGATAAGGAGGCCCATTAGGATTTCATCTGCTTCCCTGGCAATACACTAGTGAAATGGACAAATCCGAGAACTGATCCAAAATTGAACACCACCCACCCACCCCCGGCTTCTTTTTTTCTATGCCTCATCACTGGACACATCTAAGCAAAAACCTGCTTCCTTTGGACTATGCCTCCCTCTCATCACTGAAGAATTTCTAGGCCAGCTGTGATGGGTTGTGTGTCTGAGTCAGAAGCAGGGGAAACCTTTGGGTAAGCAGCCTCCTTGGCAAAAGGGGGCATACCAGTCATTAGTGCTGTAGCAGTCCAGAAGTTGGTAAGGAAGGGTGGATTGCTCCTTGTGCTTTCTTCTAGTAGGACAAAAATGTGGCGTAAGAGCTCAGACATAGGGGGAGGGATGGGTACATGTTACCAGGGATCCAGGAGGTCCCAGTCCAGATTATAAATCCATTACCGTGACATAGGTCTCATAAAGTAATATAATGTCAGATAAAATTACGTTATGTCTTTCCAGATAAAATATCTACGTTTTCTTTCACAGCTCATGAGATTTTTAACAGGATGGTACTGTGTGTATGGAGTGGAATCTTGTATTACAAGGTTGTACTGGGTCCAGGAAAATGACACTTGGCCCTGCTGATGAGTGTCCCCATATTCCATGACATTTCTCCACATCAAGCCTCAGCTAACTTATGGTGAGCCCACCGGGTTTTCAAGGCAAGGGAAGTTTGGAGGTGGTTTGCCATTGCCTGCCTCTGTGTCATACAACCCTGGTATTCCTTGGCGTTCTCTCACCCAAATACTAGCCAGGGTCAACCCTGCTTAGCTTCACAAGATCTGATGAGATCCGGCTAGACTGGTCAGGGTATTCCATGACATTACAGACTTCCAAAAGTACTTACATAATCTAGAGACTGTGGCAGTGTGCGCACTGGGATAGGCTGCCAAAGGATTTTGCGATTCCAGATCTGGCCACTAGTGGGGGGATAGAGACCAGCAAGGGTTGCTTGGGCACTCATGATGGTACGGTCATGGTCGGTGCTTAGGACAAAAATCTAAAAATGAAGTGTGGATGAAAAGTGTTGGTGGTTAATATTCAGCCAGAGAGGAACGCTGCTAAATTAAATAAGTCACATTTTTATCCCATCCTTCCCCCCCAAAAGCATCAAAATGGTTCCTTCTCTTCTTCCTCACAATAATCATGGGGGATCAGTTTGGCTTAGGGAGAGCGACTGGTTCAAGATCTCACAGTAAGCTTTATGGCTGAGTGGGATTTGATCCAAGGTCTCTCCAGGCCTAATCAGAGACTCTATTACACTGCACTGGCTGTCCATACAAGTTCCTGCATCTTTAGTGGAAAAATGAAATTATAGGCCAGGTGTCCCCCAATCTTGTTGAGCCAGTGGGCAGCTCTGGAATTTTAAGCACAGTTCATGGTTGCCACCACCACCAAATAGATACCACATGTGTGGAGGAGGAAGAATATCCAACTGCAAAATGCCTGCCAGGGAATAATTTATTTTCAGTTTTCATGCACAACTTCATCTAAAGGAACTGAAATCATGCACAAAATGTATTGGCTAGTGAGCAATTTCAGAGAAGGGAATTATATCTCAAACTGCACAGGATATCCAAATTTAGAGCTAGATAACGGGCAGATAAGAAATCACCAGAGCATCAAAGCTAACCATTTAGAGCAAGGCAGTTATAAAGTCCCTCCCATACAGTGCAAATAAAGAAAGAACTTTTTTAAAAAATATGATACTTTCACTTTTTCTGAAAATTTGTTTTTTGTCTTGGCTTTAATGATGTATTAGGTTTTGAGTTTAAGGGAGGGACAAAATATTAAATAAAATAATAAAATGTATGGCAATATCTGTATGTAACACTTGCCTCCTCTCGCATGTATTGGGGGGTCAGGAACTCTGCGTATCTCTCCCGTAAGTATTGTCCAAGCTCATACTGCTGCTGTATTCCAATCTATGTGGGTAACAACACTGATATGAATTAATAGGAAGTGAGTTTTGGAGTCCAAATAGCATTCCCTTTCAAGGGACTTTAATGTGTAAATAAAATAAAACAAATCAATAGACATTGTCCCTTATTCTCCTCTGGAACAAAAGGAATTAAAGGGAAAATTAAAAAACACACCAAGATTCTACAACATGGACTCTTTAGCCAAGTTCAGACTTGTTTAGCTGTCCTTCACTACAACATGAAGTAATGGTTCTAACGGGTAAAAAAAGCTATTCCTCCTGAGCAAATATAGTAGTGCAGTCTGATCAAGGAAAGACATTGTAGCTTAATGAGAGAGAACTTGTCTTGCACAAAGAAGGTTCCAGGTTCATTCTGAAGCATCTCCAATTGGAAGGCCTCAAATAACAGATATTGGAAGATCTTTCTCTGCCTGAGACACTGGAGAGTTGCAAGTAGGCTAGATTTGCCAGTATAATCTAAGGAATCCTTGTGTTTCAGGGCTTTACTAACACCCAGGACACACTAAGCAACCACTTGATCTTCCTGTATTAATAAACAGAAGGAATCACTGCTGATCCCAACAAGTCCAAGATCATTTCCTAATATTTGGTTTAAGTTGTTGTTCAGTCGTACAGTCGAGTCCGACTCTTTGCGACTTTGGTTTTATTTGGTTTATATATTACCTTTATTACATTGAGTTGCCAAGAGAGCACCATTCATCAGATATTTCCATCAATTTTATCTGCCCAATATTTGTGTTGTCACAAACCTTAGTAAGTTGTCCATATCCCTGTGACCAGTCCCTTTCTTGGTATAACTCTGTAGGATAACTTTGAAATGGGGTCCGGTCTCCATTTCGGAAAATCTGTAAAATGGTATGCAGTCTTTATTAGTTAAAGTATATAATCTTTCAACACATTAGCCTATAGTGATTCCCAGAAGGTTATTTGCTAAACCCATCTAAATCACCATCTTGGTGGGTCATGAATACTCATATGCCATTTGTTTGTATATTCCATGGGATGTGCCACTTGTTAAAACTGTTTCACCTGTACTGAACATGGAATGTCTCTTGCAGTTGTGTCCAATGCTAGTCCCATTATGGGTATAAAATCTCATTTTTCACGTGCATTTCCATAGGAGCTGAGATGTCCTGTGCATGCCGGAGGACACCGCTGTGTGCATTACAATAAAGGCCCATAGTTAAGATGTGAACTATATAACAATTAAGACTGTTGCACCTAATTGGCCCCCTAACCTGGATGGCCAGGCTAGCCCAGTCTTGTCAGATTTCAGAAGCTAAACAGGGTCAGCCCTGGTTAGTATTGGGATGAGAGACCACCAAGTGTGTCCAGAGTTGCTGCAGAGAGGCAAACCACCTCTAAACATCTCTTGCCTTGAAAACCCCATGGGGTTGCCATAAGTCAGCTGGTACTTGATTATACTTCCCTAGGGCTGCCAAGCACCCCCCACGGGGGGCGGGGAAACCCCCGCCCGGGAGGCCCATTCCCCGGCGCTGCCGGATCGGGCCCCGGGGGGAACCCCATCCCCAAAGCACGTCACAGGGAAGTGATGTAAGCATGTCGGGGACATTGGGGGCGGGGCCACAATCATCCGAGGGAAAACTCCCCCGCTCCGGGACAGGTAAGGACTTGGCAACCCTATACTTCCCTCCCCACCACTAACTGGTAAATTTCAACTATACTGTAAGTGTAAGGGTAGACCGGGGTCCCCAGTGGGGTGCCCATGTCATGGCACCTGCTGACCCCTTTTCTGGAACCTGCCAAGTGTTATTAGAAAGTGGGTGCCTGGTGGGACTTTTATCTAGCAGGGCTTCTGATTGGCCACTGGAGATACGATTGGCTGTGCAGATGGAAACCAAAACCATTGTTTCACTGCGTGACTGGAGATAAGCTGTATGTAAGCAAGAAAGTGTTTTTAAACAATATGTTTACTTTAAAAGGCTTCCTGTTAAGCAGGGTTTGTGCTTAAATGAAATGTTCAAGAGTTACTATTAGAGTTAGTCATCACTCCATGACATCTGCCTCCTGCAGTGGCCATTTTGGGGTTGCGTCCCCCACCCTGTGTCAGAATTCCAACAGTGCTAGCCAGTTCAAAAAGGGTGAGGACCCCGGTATAGACTATAGTCTAAAACAAAATAACATACAAAAGAAACGAGGAAGTAAAACCAAACAGTTCTGCCGGTACAATACTACACAGATCCAAACTCAGGCCCACTTCCATAGGCTCATAAGAAGAGCCCTGCTGGATTAGACCAATGGTCTATTTATTCTAGCAGCCCGTTGCTCTCAAAGACCAATGAACAGGGGAAGGCCTTGGCTCTGGAAAAGTACCTTACCAAAAGCATTTGGAATGTACAAATTCCCCATGCTGATTTTTCCTCAACAGGATTTTGTTCCTCTAGGTGCTTTTTAAATTAGTATTAGGACTAATTTACAGGTCTGCAGTTTTCTGAATCCCATGTGGACTCTTTTTTAAAACACAGTGTAACATTTGCTATTTTCCAATCATCTGGCATAGTGGGGGGTGATTTTAGGGGCAAGTTACATATATTGTTATAGTAGGTCAATATTTACAGATTTGAATTCCTTACATACCCTTGGGTGTATGTAATCTGGACGCAGACACTTGTTTTTAGTTTGCCCAATATTACTATGGGGTTGTGATCACACACGCGATATGATGCGTGGGGGAAGCGAGGCTATTTACCCCGGTGGAAATTGACTCCCAGTTGCGCGATCACACAGTTCTTTGAAGCTGCGAGCATAGACTGCCACTGCATGATCAAATGCAATCGCGGGTGAGTCAGGGCTCCCCCCCGTTTGTTTTCGATTTGCTTAAATGGAGGATCAATGAATCGCATCTCCACACTGAGGGCTTCCTACGGCAATATGCAATGATGCGCATACTGAGAAGGGGGAAAAACAACGGCACGGAGTCGGGATGGCCTGATCAGACCATCCCGATGCCATGAGAGCGTGCTGGAGCGATCACACAGGGGAAAGTCCATCTGTGGCCCGTAGCAACCCGTTTGCTACTGCACTTTCCCCAGTGTCTTTTTACTCCGCTTCTGTGGCGGAGCAAAACAGGATGCCGATGGGTGCGGGACACTGGACAGATGTTTGCGTCTGATCGCACCCTTTAAATCTGCCCGGCATTCATGCCTATGGCATGGCTAGTTGTGCGTGTTATCGCACCCTAAGTTAATCTGTTATCACGTCAATTTGACTCTATTTTGAGAAATCTTTTTGCAGAGCAGTGACTGCAAAAGAGTTATGGGCTCCAGTTTTTCTACAGCTATTGTTTTACAAACAAAAAGAATGAATTCATCTTCTCTGCCATCTTCTCATCTTCTTTAAGTAATCCTTTCATTCATTTATCATCAAGCAGCCCAACTGCCTTCCTGGCTGGTTTCCTGCTGTTGGTATATTTGAAGAAATGCTTATTGTTTATCTTCATAGTTTTCGCAATCTGCTCCCAGTGAGTCCCTCTCTGTCTTGTGTGTTGAATTTTTATCCAGAGTTAACTGTATCCCACTGATCTTCCCCATTCCACCGGATCTCTGTAATTCCCATTATATCTAAATCTTCATTTAGCATCAAGCACTCTAGCTCCCCTATGTTGGTTTGGAGGGTTCTGGCAGTGGCATATAGATGCCTACACCTTGTTTCTCTCTCCAAGGATCCCCACCTAGAATACATTTGACTTAGATTGACGTTTCTGCAAAGATGGGTTAAGACTGTCTCCTGCTCAGCTGAAAGGACAAATGGACTCAGAACTGCAATTCCGCAGAAGAGGTGGATATTATCTGGTAGAAGCCAAACACATTCCCAGAATGGTTTGTAGCTCTGAGAGGGAAGTGAGGAATATTTATCTAACTTTACTGTTAGATGCTTCTCAGGAAGTAGCATACAAGTGTGTGTGCGCGTGCAAAGTGCCATAGGTTTTTCAAGGCAAGAGACATTCAGAGGTGGTTTGCCATTGTCTGCCTCTGTGTAGCAACCCTGGATTTCCTTGGTGGTCTCCCATCCAAGTACTAACCAGGGCCGACCCTGCTTAGCTTCTGAGATCTGATGAGATTGGGCTAGCCTGGGCCATCCAGGTCAGGGCATCATTCAAGTATTCAAAAATAGTTATGCTATGATGAGAGGTACTGTGGATCAATTATTTGATTAAAGCAGTTTCCCCTTTCTAATTTTTTAATTAAATTGTAATTAGAAAAAAATATTACATGTGTACATAACAATAACAAAACCTAGATCAAACATATAAATATAAAATTTAACAACACACCATTTGTAATTCCATTTAACCACTGAAGTTTTTAGTGTAAAGTCAAAAAAGGAAGTTCCATATACTGCAAAACAGGTATGCGGTATACACCTGCAGAAGTGAAGGGGTCTCTTCTGTCTTTTGCTGACCATAGCATCTGTTGTATTGTTTTGGTGGGTCTGAATACTGTTTGTAGGTTGTACTTTTTCATACGTTTTCCCATCTGATCAGTGATGATATCTACTCTTCCTGAGTAGATATAAATTACCTGCCTATCATTTTTCTTCTCACCTTGACACAGAGAGTACTCCATTTTTCTGTGTCATACCTCTGAGGATGACAGTCACAGCTACTAGCGAAACGTCAGGTCCTACAATACCAAGACCACGGCCATACAACCCAGAAAATCTAGAACAGCTCATGAACTCTGGCCATGAAAGCCTTCGACAACATATTTTAGGATTTTCAGGTATTTTGATTCCCATTATTAATTGAATTTCCATAAAAAATTGACTCCAGAAATTTTTAATTATTGGACGTGTCTACCAATTGTGTATATAAGTTCCTCTTTTCCTGCATCCCTTCCAGCACCAAGGAGTTGCTATCATGGTGGTATGTGATAACTGAGCAGAGGTTAAGTACCACCTAGAGATGACTTTATATGTCTGCATTTGTATGTTTAGTGCAGTAAAAAGATAGACAGATGAGTAGACAGATGAGCTCCAAATTGGTGCCCATTGTTCTTCTCCTAGTTCCTGATCTATACCTGCATGCCAAGCCATTTGATAATGAAGTGGTTTCACACTTTTTAAATTGAGTATTATGCTATAGATTTGTGATATCATGCCCTTAATAGGTATAGACTCATGATATAAAAGTTTTTCAGAATCAGTCAATACTAAATGTAGAGCTTTAAATTTACAAGAATTAATTAAATTATGCAATTGAAAATATTCAAACCAAGGTAATTTAATATTGTGTTCATGTTCTAATTTACTTTTATCTTTCAAATAGCCATGTAAAGTATCTATTAATCTAGTTGTGTTCAGATTTCTCCATTGAGCAAATGAACGTTTTTCTTTTTCAAGATGGAACCAATTCTGGGCCATGTAATTGGTTAATAAGGACATTGGGGGAGCCAATAATCTATTATATGTGTTCCAAAGCTTAAATGTCACTTTTAAAAAAGGATTTGCACACTTCCTCATATGACGTTTAGTATAATGATGCCATAGCTGTTCTCAGAAGGTTCCAGTTAAAAGTTTGATTTTTTCAATACATTTCCATTCTGCAATTTATGTATCCCTATATCGCTTTACAAGATTAGTTAAAATTATTGCATCATAATACAGTACACATCTGGGACTGCTAAGCCCCCTGTTCTCAGTGGGCAATGAATAGTCTTAAAACTGATTCTTGGTTTCTTATAAATAATAAGTAAATAAAAGTATTAAGATCCTTATGCCATTTTTAATCAACCATAAGGGTAAACTGATAGGTATGGCTCTCATATAAAAATTATTTTTGGTAAAATAAGAGATTTTACAACATTGATTCATTCT